GGGCTGAGGTGAAGAGGCAGCTGTGGTCAGACACTCTAAGCCTTCAGAAAAGCTGAGTGGCTTAAGTTGTGTTGAAAAAAACTGCTCCTACATAAACATTATGTCCAGTTGTTTAGTAACACGTGCATGGAAAATCTGTGTAGAGGAAGTAAAAGAATAAACTTAAGTCATAGGTGATCATCTTTTTTTTAAGCCTGGAAGATCAACTTTATGCAATAAAAACGATTCAGTAATGTGAAACTGGAAGGACGTTCAAGGTTCTTCATGGTCATTCGCATCACATGTGGTACATGAGGTGGAACGAAATTGTGTACTCGAGGTCCCAGTTACACCCAAAAATAGCAAAACTATAAAGTAGAAAAAAGAAACAGTATACAAGGATCTAAGCTATACGCTAAACACTAATAATGCATGGTGTATTAAACAGCAGCCTGAACATGAGTCTGTTGTGCGCAGATGGGGATGAAGTAGGGCTGAACAATTAATTGCGTTTGCAATAATATCACGATATGATAAAACGATATTTTCTAACCGCGAAGGCTGCAGTTGGACTGGTCGTGACCTGGTTACGTGACTTGCGAGTGAGTGGAGCAAAACAAAGCAGAGCAGAGAGCGGGAGAAGTCAACGCTGCGTTTTAACTGGTTGCACAGTGGCGTCAGGCTCGACAGAAGCTGATACAGCTGAAAGTTTGGTACCGAAGAGCGGCACGTCCGCTGTTTGGAAATATTTTGGCTATAATGAAAGAAGACGCTGCACAACGACATGCAATGTGCAAACCTGCCTTGCCTCTCGAGGTAGCACCACAAATCTTTATCAGCACTTAAAAAAACACCACAAAGCCATTTACGATGGTTGCATGGCTAGAACGCCAACGACCAGCGCTTCAGCTTCAAATAAGCCAAGTAGCAGCCGACAGGGATCACTGACCGAACTGTTCGAAGGTATTACTCCGTGTGAACATAATTCAAAACGGCACACAGAAGTAACTCGAGCAATAACGGAGTTCATAGTGAAAGACATGATGCCCATTAATATAGTGACCAGGCCTGGGTTTGCATCTTTGGTAAACACAGTGGATAAGTGGTACAGGATGCTCGTGCACACATTTTAGCCAAGTTGTTATCTGGAGCTGTACAAAAAATGCAGAAGCAGAGTTGCAGCGGAGCTGAAAACTGTGGAGGTGTTTTTTTACATCTGAAGCAGATTTATTATGAATACAGTAGCTTATGGGTAAGAAATCAGCAGCATGGATAATCAGCAGCATGGATAATCAGCAGCATGGATAATCAGCAGCACAGTGTCAAATCTCCAATTAAAGTTGCATTACAGTGATTATTCTGGTTAGAGATTTATGAGTCTTAACAACTTCAGGGTAGAAGCTGTTCCTCAGTCTAGTGGTTCTACACTTAATGCTCCTCAACTTCCTTCCTGAGGGGAGTGGGACAAAAAGTGTGTGCTGGGTGAGTGGGGTCCTTCATGATACAGGTGGCCCTCTTCCAGCATCTGGAGGTGTAAATGTCTGTGATGGTGGAGAGGCTGACTCCAACATCTTCTGTGCAGCCTTCACCACTCTCTGCAAAGTTTTTCTTTCTGCAGCTGTGCAGCCTCCATGCCACACATTGATGCTGGAGCACAGGATGCTCTCCACTGCACACCTGTAGGAGATTTGCTGCACTAAAAATAAAATCCTTGATCCTTCACCTTCATTACAACCTCCATTAAATCTACCTGGAAAGCACGAGTTTACAATGTTATTTTACTAGTTCGATACAGAAACTAAAGCAGTCCTCTTGGTTTAAAAAAAAAAAAAGTCTAATTAACGGCGCTGCTTACAGTCCAGTAAAGCAAATTGGTCAAGTCTTGTTCTGCCTGGAGTCATTTAAAAGCAGCCAGGGTGACATCAGAGGGCTGCTTTTATGTTTCAGGAACTGCATTAATACCCCAGTGAGCATTTGCAGTATATACATGTATTACAGAAACTTTGTCAACTCCAGATAGGAAGGAAAAAAAATGTTAATAACTTTTAAAGCCCCCGCACATTTTTTATGTCTTTAACCAACTCTTGTCTTCACGTTTATCCAGTTTGGACTGGTTCTTTTTCTTACCATGCTGTCCCCGTTGTATCACATGTCCTCTGCTTTGTAGTCTTCAGCTGAGTTGTGCATGCTCATCATGCACTGATCCATCAGCATAAAACTATTAAAAACAGAGGGGCAGATCGCTGCAGCTCTTCCTTATCAGTCAAACCAGTTAATTAATATCGCTTAATTAAAACATGACGAGGCCCTATGTATCATGAGGTAAGTGTCAGCTTCTTATTGTCCTCCAAACACGGGATATTTAATCTGCATGGCAGATCTTTGCTGCAGTAAGCCAATTAAGCATGAAGGCTGATGAAATAGCCTGTTAAAACTTTGGATCAAATTTGGGAGCTAACTAGTCCACCACAAAGTAGAAAAGCATCCGTGTTTGTAATCTGTGCCTCGTTCTTCTCGTTTAAAAAGCCTGAGCTGGAAAATCCTGGGACAGCTCTATAATGAAGTGTGTTTGTGTTGGGGGTTAATGGGTGGGGTCTTTGTTGTGTGCTCGATGAATTAATGAGGAGCAGTTTGAGCCCTGAGGTGTTCCACTTTGCTCTGCCTTCGTGTTTTCTCAGAGAGCTAATTTCTTTAGCCGTAGCCTACCAGGCCTAATTATACTTCAACCCCTCAGTGTTCTTGTTGTGTTTAAGTGTGACATTCTTTAAACTGACTTGGATAAAACAGCCTCTAGCCCAAACATAATTCTGTGCACTGTTTATCTCCTCAGCATCACAGCATCTTTGTCAGTTTCATCTTTCTGTCTTGAGTGATGTTGAACTCTTCTTAGAGACTAATAACTTGAATATTGTGCTGCTGCTTCACAATAGATGCTCTTTACTCCATGAAGGCTTTCCAGCGTTGCAGGTTTTTGGTCAGCACCATCATCATTTGAAGTAGGTTTAAAGCAGCCAGTTCCTGGTTAGTCAGTAATACATCTACCGTATTTTTCGCTATATAAGTTGCGCTTTTTAGCATAATTTGCATGCCCTGCGACTTATACGCCGACGCAACGTATTTATGTTTTCTCCCATATTTATAAACCAATTGTTGTCTGAGATATGACTGTTTTCATTCATTTTGACTGGAAAATATTGAACACTACTATTTTCAGCCACTAGATGACACTCGAGTAGTATGGCATACTGTTATGTCATGTAATAGGTAAAAGTGGCTATTAATGACACAATCGGCTTGCCATAATTTGCCACCTTCATCCAGCTCGCCTGGAGAAACCGTCAAATCAGCTTAATTTTTCGCTGCTCTGCCCCAGTGAAATGCAGCTAATTTGACCATTAAAGTGCATTTATTGAGTAAAAGTTACTCTGAGACACACCTTTACTATAAAGTCGAGCAAACAAATAACTGTTTTTAAGTGTTAATCTTGTTAAATTCTTGTTATTCACGCACCTGCAGCCGCCATTTGGCAGCCAATTGATTTTTGGCACAACACCGACCCACATTTCTGGGTTGTCAGCGGTGACGCATTATAGATGTGACGTATACGGCAAAGTGACATATTTATGGCTTTCTCTACTTCATTAGACATATTTGGACTGATGCAACTTATAGGGCAGTGCGACGTGTACGGCAGAAAATACGGTACAAGTTTCATCTCTTTAAAAGAAAATCTCCCAGGTTTAAAAATAGGATGGCAAACTACTTGAATGATCTTGATCAAAAATCCCAAAGTTTCTTCCTTGTCTTTTGTATCACCTTCTAGCTTTATCTTTAATCAGTGATCTGATGTTTTGAATGAATGCACAGTTTAATTACACACTGTGTTTACGGCACAGAAACGCACGGAGTCTTTCACAGGGAGGACTGATAAACAACAACGTTAAAAGAAGTTTCAGGTAATTTGCAACTCTAAGCTAATGCATTTTTAATTTATATTTTATTTAGTTTAGCCTTGACAGCTGAAGAAAACACATTCATGTTTAATTAGAATGCTCCAGCGCCTTTCATGCCAGATTTTAAAACTAAAATCATTCGATGTTGAGAACTGACAGAATTGTATGCTCAGAGTATGTGATGTGAATGATGCTCAGCTACTACCACATCCAAGTTTAGCTTAATATCTGTAAAATTAATTGAATTATCATTATTTTAGTGTTAGCTAATGTTGATTAGCTGTAGTGGATATCTTGAAGTGGATTGACTCTAGTCGTAAATGTAAATCCATTGATTACTTAGTGAAAAACGTATTAACCTCCATCCAATGGTTTATGAGATATTTTGCTAACAGGTAAACAAGGTTGACTCCAATAGTTAATCCCAAAGATCTTGCATAATAATCTCTACTTTGACTCCTAAAATGTATAAACATAAAAATAAAAAAAACTATTTGGCTTAACCCAACAAAGTTAAGTCAGGTCATCTGGACAGTTTATTTTTTGTTGAGATGTTTCGTCCTTCATCCAAAAGACTTCATCAGTCCGCGGAGCCACAAAAAACTGAGTCGCACAGGCAGCACACTCACAGAGTGGTCCGACCAGTTTGATGGTGATAAGACGGTTTCTGGAGTTTGCCCTCTCCCCATCAACTCCTCTGAGGCAGCCACGGCTGAGTTTGTTGTGGCTCCTCGGACGATGAAGTCCTATGGATGAAGTATGAAACATCTCAACAAACAAGAAACCGTCCAGAGGACCTGCCTTTGTTGGATTTTTTTACCTGGATTATTAACCATGAACACTGATGTTTGACTTTAGACATCATGCACAAATAATATGCAAAATAAAATAAAAAATTAATCTTTTAAAATGAAAGTATGTCAGATGTGACAGATACGATATTTCAGAACAGAAAACAGAAACTCCAAACTTCATAAGCAGGTGCAGAAGCATGTAAATGACTTCTTCTTGTCAAAAAGACCTGTATTTATTTTTCATGTGCTTTTTTTCTTTTCTTTGTTGTTGCAGGACAGCAGGTGGTGAAAGTGAACAACCAGTTTAAAGTGATGTGCGTGGCCCTGTACCCCGGCAGCCCAGATGTTTTCCTGTGTGGAGGTTACAGTCCAGAGGTCAAAGCCTGGGACTCTCGTTGCTGCAAGGTCAAACATACATGAAGTGATTTTTACTGACCTGCGTTGTAACACAGCTGCCTTCCACTCTCCTCCGCTGCACACGAGTTTAAACACATTGATCCATGCTGGCTTTCACTGCAGGACCACAAGTTCTCTCACTAATTGTTCAAAACAAACCTCAGTTTAATCCAGGCTTCTTAGACTTAGTTTAATCCTGGCCTCTTAGACTGTCCCTGTGAAGCCGTCGCCTAATATTGCTATTAAGCCTAATGGGCTGTTTTATATGATAATCCCGTTCACTTCCGTAGGATCTGAGTGCTTGCGTGTAATTTCTCCCCTCTGTGAACTGAATCGTCTCCCAGCAGGGTTTTAGATTTAAAACGGTGGAGATGCTTCTGCTGGTATAGGAGTCAGTGTGAGCTGCAGACAGCAACAAGCAGGCTGGTAAAGCTCCAGTGCCGTCAGTCTCAGGCTCGAGCTGTCTCGCTGTGGGGCCAACCTATCCCAACATACTGTCAGGCCTGATTGTCTCGCACACCCACTGGCTCGACCATACAACCGTTACTGGGAAGGCAGGCAGACTCAGGAGGCTGAAAAAATAATCCAGAAATGGCTCTCGCTGTAAAACCCTGCTAAAGAAGCACAAGTTTAACGCTACAGAGAGGAGGAGTGTGGTTTAAGTGACAGGTGGGGGTCAAAGGTGAAACTAACCCAGACAGAGCTGCTGGATGTCTGGTCAGCTCTGATTGGACCAAACCACTGATCAACCTCAGATATTATAAGTCGAAGAAAACATGACCACTGTTTTTATTACATTTTAATCCCACAAGAACTGCATTAACTTACTAGCTGCTGATAAATAAACAAATAAATAAATAGTTGCTTTCTGAGAATATAGAAGCAGTAAGATTTTTTTTCAACTGGTAACTATATAAAGAAAATCTAAAGAAACATAAATATTTGCAATCTGATGTTTGGGTCTATTAGTACTAGAGTAGTTCCTCGTTTATTTTATTTTATATTTTTTAAATTTAGTAAAGGTTGAATTATCGTGGGGGATTCGTACCCTGAAGACCTGCGATAAGTGACAAACCGTGAATAGTAGTAGAAGTAGTAAGTAGTAGTTTATTTTTATTATATATGTATATGTATACAGTATATATATAAAGGCATTTTAAACCCTTCCCACACTCTTGCAATACAGTAGTCTCTCGTTTATCGTGGGTGTTAGGGACCACGCCCACTCACGATAAGTGAAAAACCGTGACGTATGGATACAGTAGTCCAAGTTCAGTTCAAGTTCAATAAACTTTGTCATGCCATGTGCCAGGCTGCAATCACACTCATCACCTGTTACTCCCAATCTCCCTCCTTACATAAATAATTTTAATTTAAATACTGTAAAATTTTAAATGAGCAATTGATGCAGCATGAATTGTTTATTCAAAATATTACAGTATTTAAATTTAAATTGTAGAGAAGAGAAGAGAAGTGCAGCAGGACGTCAAAGGGATGTCACGCAGCTTCAGCTCTGCAGCACGGAGCACAAATGTACTTTTTTTATTAATTACACTTCAACAACTGAACATGGAAGTTCTAAAATAATTAAAAATAACTTTTAACACATATAGTTTGTGATTATGATGATTTTTACGTTGTGACATACTTTGAATTTTAAGTTGGAAGACAAAAGTCGATCGGTGCATCTTGACAGCAAAGGGTTAACCCTTCACAGAGATGCAGCAGGAGAAATGTGGGCATGGCAGAGAGTGGAGATCAGCTGATCAGCTGCAGGAGGGAGCTTTCTTTTGCACTTTTGGACTGCACACATGGTACAAAATCATTTAAAATAATTTATTTTACATAAACAACCCATGGCTCATCCATCAATTAACTAATTGTGTCATGTCCAATCTTATTTTGAAAAACCGCAATATAGTGAATCCTCCAAAAACGAACCGCAAAGTAGTGAGGGACTACTGTATTCTAAACAATTTCTGAACTCTAAACGCTCTAAAAGAGCACAAAATGTCATGATTTCAGCTCCCTGCCTCGTCTGCTCTTGGCCACCTGCAAGCGCTCTTGGCCACGCCCACTTCACTCTGCATGGAGAACAGCTGATCAGCTGCAGCAGGAAGTTTGTCCTGCAGTAAGGGCTGCACAAAGGTGCAGCAGGTGCTAAATAATTTAAATTAATTTATTTTAAATAAAAAATCCATGCCGATCGTGCGGCTCATCCATCAATCAGTGTGTCTTGTCCAATCTTATTTTGAAAAACCGCGACAGAGCGAGCCCGCGATAAACGAACCACGAAGTAGCGAGGGACTACTGTAGTTTAAATGGTTTCATTTCATTAAATTGTTTCAAGCTCAAATCGGTTTATGTATTTAACTAATCAACTCTTAATTAATTTCTTCATTAGTCTGAAACATCTGGCCGTTGATTTGTGACCATCGAATGGTTTTATGTTTTATAATGGCAGTATCTCTGACCTTCATGCAGGGCATCTGTTGAGATCATTTCAGCTGTATTACACGCAGAAATCCAGTTTGCTCCCTCCAGGTGCACGTCTGCAGCTTCAAATATGAGTCAGTTTATTTAATAAAAGTCCAATAGAGGTGCATGAAATTGTATGAGATGTGTGAAATCACTGCCTTTATGTTTGGGTCCTGAGCTAACAGTATGTTTTTATAGACAACAGCTCATCATGTTTGACTTTATGACCTCCCGCCTGGAGCAACAAAGGAGCAGATGTTTTCTTTCTTCTTGTTGATTCCTCTTCTGAACCAAATATATCTGGATTGTGTTTTTATGAGACACTAACACGCCCCAATAAACAGCACGGTCTGACTGAAAGGCGATCAGTCATGGATTTGATGAAATCTTTAAAGGTTGAATAGTAATGTGAATATGTCTGTTTTTACATGCATGCATATGTTTGTGTTCATGCATTTGTGTGTTTGTGATTTTAGGTGGTGAAAGTGTACAAAGCAGGGATCCAGCAGACGTTGGACATCCTTTTCCTGAGGTGCGGGCTGGATTTCATAACGAGCACGGACTGTGTTAGCAGGGACTCTGCAGACCGGACCCTCATCGCCTGGGACTTCCAGACCACAGCCAAGGTTTCCAACCAGATTTATCATGTAAGTATTCAGTGTTGGAAAAAACGAAAATAACGTCAGACTCTTTAATACATGGAAATCTGACTGGTTTATCAAGTAAAACAAACTAAAATATATATATATTTTTTAAAACCGTCAAACTTTTTCAGGCACATTCCTAAAAAAGGTGTCACCTTTTTGATGTGGAACAAAGTTGGAAGTGAGGCGTTTGAAAGCAGCACATTTTGAGAATAAAAACTCTAGAGTCTATTGAGTGACGGCCTTTAAAAATAGGCTTTTATTCATCTTTGTTCTATATTTGGATTGAACTAATTCTTAAACAGCACGTCAGCGACTGAACTGAACTGTTGGTAAACCAAATATCTAATAGTTTCTGTTACTTTGGCCACTTTTTGCACCTTTAAACAAAGAACCTGTTTAATCATTAAGGAGTACTTATCATACAGCGTGAAAAAAGTGTCAAATAACTGTTTATAATGCTTCTAATTTTCACCTTCCGCTCAGGAGCGTTACACGTGCCCGAGCTTGGCTCTCCACCCACAGGAGGAGTCGTTTGTTGCCCAGACCAACGGGAACTACATGGCACTGTTTTCCTCCCAGAAGCCCTATAGAATGAACAAGAGGCGGCGATTTGAAGGACACAAGGTCAGTAGCAGCTGTGACCTCAGGGCGACAGCGGGGGACACGCAGGCCTAGTCTGTTCAGAGCAGCAATACAGAACTAGAGACTGACCGATATGGAAATTTTGACTATCACCGATACCGATACTGGGAGGGGGATGCTTACGCCAGTAACCGATATATTGGCTGGAAATTTTTTAGCTTTGTCCACCTCCAAGAATCTAAGCAAACAGGTACTTTAACTTGTTTTAACACTTGAAGTCTCGAAACATCTTCCTGACGTGTGTTCACATTTTCTATCCTCCACAGTTCACCATAAAGTTATCAAATGTGTTACAAAAATATAAATTAAACAAAGAAGCTTCCTTCCCTGTTCATTGTTTAAACAGTCAAGTAAAGATTTCAGACAAACAATGCATTTTATTGAGGACGACAAAGTTAACGTTATTAGCACGGAGATATTTTATTTACCTCTATGTTAGATTTATTGTTCTGGATAAAGTTTTACAAGGCAATAGCCTATGCTAGGTTATCTAAACATTAGCTTGCTAACTTGAGAGGTACGTAGCGAATGACAAGCAGGTTGATGGATTGAAGGGAATTTTTTTTATTGTTGATATTTTTTTATTTACAGATCAGTTACAATAAACTTACCAGGCTCTGCTCAGTAAAATATGCTACACAGTATTTAGTTGTTCCCTGCTTCGACTGCCCTGAAAGTGAAAGTTAAAGTGAACGGCCATGACTTGAAAGTAGTCTTCATGCGCCCTCTGCTGGATACATTGCACAATTACGGCTCGTTCTCAGCATTTTAGGGGTGATAATTAGAAGTGTTTATATCGTGCATAATGGGGTAATTATCAGCGATACATGTCCCCAAACGTCCATATCGGCCTAAAATATCGGTCCTGACAATATATTGGTCGGGCTCTACTAGAAGCTGATCCAAACCCTGGGGTTTTATCTCATTACAAGTCCTGCTGCTCTGTAACTTTTTTATTTCTAAATAGTTTTTTGCTCTTATCTCAACCATGCATGCTTTAAAAAAAATCAAGATTTAATATACCGTATTGTTTTACAATATTAGTGTTTAGCATATATCTTAGTGTATAGCTTAGATCCTTATGTACAGTTTTTTTACAATTTATATTTTTTTGCTATTTTTGGATGTAATTGGCACTCTGAGTACACAATTTCGTTCCACCTCATGTACCACATGTGATGCAAATGACAATAAAGAACCTTGAGTCGCTTTCAGGTGGAAGGTAACGCACTTTGACCGTTCCATTTCTCGTCTAGGTGGAGGGATTTGCTGTCCGGTGTGATTTTTCTCCGGATGGGACGATTCTGGCTTCAGGGAGCTCCACGGGTTCGGCTCACTTCTATGACTACCAATACGCTCGCATGCTGCACTCTTTCCAGGCTCACAGCCAGCCCTGCCTTTGTGTTTCCCAGCACCCCGTCCTCCCAGCGACTGCGGTCACCTGCGACTGGGCGGGCGACATTAAGATCTGGCACTGACGTCTCAATACGTAGAAGTAAAACTGGATTTTAGGAGCAGAACTTACAGACTAATAATCTGAAAATCTAAGCACAGACTGCATGAGATTAAAAGATTTGTTTTCTGCTGTGATTTTAATTGGAATCAGTGACTTGTGGGAGAACTGTTCAGCTACAGATGCAAAATAATCTCTTTTTTTTTTGTCAACCTTCCATAATAAATAAAGACATACTGTAGCATCTTTTAAGATTTTGTAAAAATAAAAACACCCTGGGCATTTTCTAGTCAACGCAGTTTGTTTTTCAGTACAGTTTGGATCATACACTGCTGACTGGAGTCTCCGCGGCGCCGATGTTTCTTTTCACACCAGCAGCTTAAAGCTTCACAGAGAGCTGGCTAAGGGTCTGTCAAGTTCTTCCAGGATTCTGCCAATCAGCAATGCAGCAGGGGGAGAAAAAACATTTAGATCTATTTTTAGATGCCTAAAATATGGATTGCCGATAATCTGTTTGAAGTTTTGCATTTGGTGCCTTCAGTGTTAGGTTCTACTTGCATTAACAGTGGAAATTAGAGAAACGGAAGATTTAAATGTCTAGAAATAACCTTGGAAGAGTTTGAGAAGCTAAATGTGCAAACATGTTGGTGAAAGCTGCTGCTGTTCAGCGTTATCTGCATGTGTTTTGCTGGCTTATGAGTCAGATGAAGAGTTTTAAAGAAATCACCAAATCAAAGAGATAAATATAGAGTAACTGTAGCAACGTCGGACAACTCTGAACAATATATACCGTATTTTTCGCTGTACAAGTCACAGCTTTTTGCATAAATTGGCATGACCTGCAACTTATACACCGAAGCGACTTATTTTTGTTTATTCCCATATTTATAACCCAATTTTTGTCTGAGGCAGCACGGTGGCGCAACTGGTAGAGCTGCTGCCTCTCAGCGAGCAGGTCCCTGGTTCAAATCCTGGGCTCTTTCTGGGTGGAGTTTGCATGTTCTTTCCGTGCATGCGTGGGTTTTCTCCAGGTACTCCGGTTTCCTCCCAGAGACCAAAAACATGCATGTTAGGCTGATTGGTAACTCTAAATTGTCCCTAGGTGTGAGTGAGAGACTGAATGGTTGTTTGCCTCGTTTGTCTCTATGTGTCCCTGTGATGGACTGGAGACCCGTCCAGGGTGCACCCCGCCCCTTGCACAGTGATTGCGGACATGGGCACCGGCGACCCCCTTGACCCAAAATGGAAGGAGCAGGTAAAAGATGATGGATGGCTATTAATGAGACACTTGTCTTGCCATATCAAACGTAAAATCAGCTGCATTTCACCGCGACGCCCAGGTGAAATGCAGCTGATTTGACCATTAAAGTGCATTTATTAAGGAAAAGTTTAACTGAGACACACCTTTACTATAATGTCGAGCAAACATAATTGTTTTTAAGTGGTTATCTTGTTAAATTTCAAAGAAATGCACAGCGAGTCCTCCCTCTGCGCGCTCCTGCAGCCACGAATCAGCTTTTGAAAATGCAGCTGATTTGACCATTAAAGTGCATTTATTAAGGAAAAGTTAGACTGAGACACACCTTTGCTATAATTTTGAGCAAACAAATAATTGTTCTTAAGTGTTAATCTTATTAAATTCTTGTTAAAGTTCTCCCGTGCACGCTCCCGCGACCGCCATTTGGCAGTCAATTGATTTTTGGCACAACACCGGCCCACGTTTCCAGGCGGTCTGCGGTGACGCATAAAAGATGCAACTTATACGGCTAAGCGACTTATTTATGTTTTTTCCCCACTTTATTAGACAAATTTACACTGACACGACTTATACAGCAGTGCGACGTGCACAGCAGCAAGTACGGTAATTTCTCTTTTTTTGTTCTAATTTCCTTTTGAAATCAAAAGGTCAAACGCTCCTGAAAATAAAGGAAACAATGTTGGAGCATAAAAAACGATTAAGTTGTGTAAATAATGTTTTATGGAAACTTTTAAGAGGCGATAAAGAATGCAGGATTGACAACTGATGTTTCAACAAGTCTGCCGTACGTTTCCAACACCCATCTTTATTAGGTAAATAAACAGCAGAAATCTATGACCATGCATCAAACAGACCAACGAGGTAACAGTGAGACAGCAGGCGTGTGGGTCCTGAATCAGGGCTGGAGGTAGAACAGAACCACTTCAGCCTCGTCTTCAGGGTCAAAACCTTCAATAAATAGAACACAAACTAAAACTAAGCAATATCATAATTATACGTAGCATCCGTTTTTGTTAATTGTGTCCACAACAAACATTACCGCATTAAATGTGATTCTGAAACGTTCTCACCATCTCGTTGCCATTCCGTCATACCAATTAGGAAGGCTTGTTGTGGTTAGTCTGTATAAAATTTCTGGAACAGCTTTAAGTTTGGTCTTAAATGAACAAGAGTTGGAGAAAAAAAATCTTATTTGTCACAACGTAGGACAGAGCTGGGTCCCGTCAACATTCCTTGCATCTTCAAAGCCACACAGGCAGAAAGAAAAGTTTGGGAGCGCAGATGTTGAAACTTTGTCATTTGGCAACTTTCAAGCGTAGCAGATGGTTGCGTGACTGTTTGGCAGCAAGACATCCTCTCTGCAGCTCTTCGTATTCATAGGCCACAGTCACATATTTCCTCGGAATACCTTTTATTTTCTCACTAGTAGGACAGCATGCCTTTGCTACTTTATATTCTATTATACGTACACAGTTGATCTATTTTCACAGTGTTATCTCTGAAAAACTGATGCTGGTTTAATGCAACACAGTGACTGTACATCCGAGCCTTTAGTTTCACACTCTGTTGTTTTTAACCACCTTTTTTTTTGTTCATATTGTGCAGAACCTTCAGTTTGCTGGAGAAAAATAGAGAAACCTGCACCCCTTTTTTTTTTTTTTTTAAATCTAACGGTGTTGAAAAATTCCACGATGATATTTGGTTGCATTTTTTTAGAATTGCTACGAGACCTTTGACGAGAGCGAATCTACAAAAAAAAAAAAAGCAAAAATAATCAGATTCTCCAGGAAGCTTGCCTTCTCTCGACAGGAAGAACAAACGCAGTAAAACTAGTGTTTACATATTGGAGTAATACGTAAATGTACAGTATGTACACAGTTGTTAGATGCTGTAAAGGAGATTGTTCTGTCTGAACAGGATTAAGGCAACTTCACAGGTGTCCTGGTTTAACTACTTACTGTGCAGTACAAGTCAAATCATATCTAATTTTGATACAAAAATGTGAAAAACTCCAGCTGTATAAAATCAAAAGTCTTGCAGCCAACATTTTTGTTTAATTTCTAATGAATGGGTAGCTCTTTTCTGTTGTACATTTGCTCTAAATGTAATTTTGTCCTATTTTGTGTATCGTATGTGAAATTTAATGAACAAATTCAGGCAAATAGCTTGAGTAAGGAAGCTAACTTGCTAAAAAAACAAACTAATATCATATAAAGTATATATTGACTGTATATTTTACCTGTTTGCACATTTGAAAACAATGTTCCTATACATTTAATGTCCCTACACCAAATAGTTTATTTGTAAGTGTGTTTTCCTACCCTTGTTTGTGCATTATAAAACATGCGTTTTGTTTAAGAGAAAATAAAAAGTATATAGGTCGTTTAAACATCTTGCAGTCAGCACGGTTCACAACACATAATGAAAAACCCTTTTCCAACACGAGTAAATAATTCACCCCATTACACGCGCTTCTGCTCGTTATCAATCCTGCTGCCCATAAAACCACAATTGATAGTCTTTTACTGAGTGTGCTAACGGCACCGAAAGAGAGCAAAGACCAATGCATCCTCATTCCACTGAGTCCGAGCCTTCATCCTGGTGACGCTAATTATTCTTGTTTCTAGAAAATACACAAGTAATAAATAAAACATATTGAATAGCTGGTATTAGGTTGCTACACTGTATTAAGATGTACAATAGAAAATGTGCTGCAGACTGCATGAAACGTGCCGTGGCTAAGATACGGAAAATACCAACAGTATAACGACCCATCACAAGTGTGTGTTTACTGCAGGGAAACACACAGTGCAGTACAGAAACGTAGGAACCGTCATCATCATCATGCAAAAAGTGTTTAAGATGTCTTCAGCCAGTCAGTTTAAGAGTGTCCCGTAGAGCTGTGCCTTGGTCAAACTGTCCTTCCTTGTTAATCCTGTACTGCCAAATTTTTGGTACCTTGGAGAAGTCTTCTTTGGCAGCGCAGGACCAACACTGATGGCAGAGCTGGAGCTCGGGCGAGGCCGAACGCTTGGCCGGGGGCTGCTGGGGTAGTGCTGAAGACTCGAAGCTTCTAGTGAGCTTTGGTGTAAGGACTCGCCCGAGCTGTCCACGCTCAGGTTCACGTAACCCTTCTTGGCACTGTTAGCCGCTGTCGCCCCACCGCTGCTTTCTTTGTCTTTAGAGCTCCCTGAGAGGAACAGGCTGCTTTCAGAGTCTTGACTGTCGTTCTTGCCTCGGTACAGCACAGTCGTTTTCTCCTGCTTATGGTGCTCTTTAGGTTTGGGACTGCGGCTGGGTGAAGCAGAGCCCAGACCAAAACACTGGTCAAACACGTGGCTGTGGAAGACATCGTCTCCTTCTTGGAAGCTGCTGTAGAGAGACTCCTTGACTTTGCTGGAGGAACCCATGGCGAAGTGCTGTTCAGAAAAACTGTATGGAGAAATTCGCCCTGCAGCATTGCGATAAGAAGATGAGAAGGTGTTCATGTCTTCCACGCTTAGCTGTTTCCAGCGAATACTTAAGTCATCTTCAGGGACCTGTACATCATTTCGACTTTCCAGAGCTCCTCCTTGAGCCTGCTCTAGTAACCCTGTGGCGCTCTTACTGTGAGAGGATGCCAGGCGAGGGCTGCTGGAGTGGTATGGTTCACTGAGACATGAAGCTGTCCTTGTGTACAAGGGCAGGTTGCCCTTCTGTGGGCTCCTGGAAGTCACCATTTGTTGAATGCTGTGTGACTTGGAGAAGCTGGAACTGTCTTTTTCATAAGAGGACATGCTTTTCCTCTCATAGTCCCCACTGTCACCGTCTCTCCAGTCCATATAGAGTCCCTGGTGTGAAGAAGATAAGGTGCTGCTGGCATTGCGCCCATACCCACCACTAACTGCCCCCTTCTCATCTGATGCAAGGCTGAAGCTAGAGTAGGAACTGGAGGCAGGGAGACTACCCGTCCCAAACTCATCAGAGTGGTGAAAAGAAGCCGGGGGCTCATGGTGCGAGAAACTTCCAGACTGAAACGGATCTTCATCTTGGTTACTCTCGATAGAGTTTTGGGCGTGCAGCTGAACCAAGGCAGTGCCATGGAGGTCGACGCTCTGCCTACGCTCTGTGTCCTGCCACCGTTCGGGGCAATACAGGGCCGTGTCACTGCAGTAAAGGTCCGATGTTTTATACGCAATGCGGCGGTTCAGATGATCAGTGCTTCCTGTTCCTATTAGAAAGTCTCCATCCTGGTGAGGGCTAGGTGAACATCTTTTAGGGGAGCTGCTACCGGGTTCAGGCTTTTCCAGGATCTTGGCAATGATAGTTGTGGGCACTTCCTCAGGGTAGTTAGGGTGACCCATTGATGCAGTGGCTCCTCTACCCCAGTTGTGTTTCTCCATGTAGGAACTGATGCGTTCTTGAAATTCTAGTGGCAACTGAGAAACAAAAGACAAACACACAAAGTTGTAAAAGATGTTTGAAGTAAAGGAAACATTAAAACAAAGATTTTCACGCGTTTTGATAACATTGTCACAGCTGCTTGTTGCTCTTTAATCAAACGTTCTTGGTTATTTTTATCCTGATATGCTTTTTGTATAGGGAGATTATAGATTTTATAGGGATTTTTACAACAAAAAAATACAGTCTTATTGAGTAACGACCAGTTTATGAATCTCAAGGGAAATGCACCGAACTGAAAATAATTAAAATTCATTAGTTTTTTTCTGTTTTGTTCCCACTAAATTTCAACACACCTCTCAATTCCCTTGCTCGGTAATTAGTCTATTTTTCATTTATAAAATGTTTTGTGTCCCTCGCTGTTCCATTTGTCTCTGTCTCAATCCTTTTAAATCCTCAGTCTGTCTTTGAAAAAAAAATATATGCATATATATATATATATATATATATATATATATATATATATATATTAGATTTGTTCATGTCTAAGAAAACTGTTCCTGACAATTACAGACCTTGTGCCTTTTATAGTTGATTGGGGTCAGTAGAAACTGTTCCTGCTCCACTAAGCTCTTTCTTCTTTCTTTATCCTTTCATCTTTTCTGTCTTGCGCTGCTGCTTTCTGAACCAAAGAGCCCTCATTCTCTCTAAACCCACCCGTCTGTCTCTCTGTGCATTTTTATTTTTAGTGTTTCTTGCTACTATCAAACAGAAACATATCGGTTCCACGAGGACCAGCTCAGATTCAAAGTAAACCAGAGACCTGGGTCCCCAGCTGATATATATATATATAAATGTATGTATGCATGTATGTATGTATGTATATATATGTATGTATGTATGTATGTACTTTGTATATATGTATATAAACTTGCCTTTGTTAAGAAAGAGCAGTTTGCCTTGGCATGAAATAAACTGCATGTTTTAAGTCGCAGCTATTTTTAGCTGCTGTTGACTCTCCCAGAGGAAACGGAGATGGAAAGTAGATGAGACTGTGAGGGAGGGGATCGTAAGATAATATACAGTTTGCTGCGAGTGAGCTTGCTCAGCATTAGCTGTTATCTAAATCAAATCTTAATTAACAGTTGCAAAGATATTCAGTTTAACTTAATGTGACTTAACCCACATCTGGAAGTTTTCCTTTTAGAAAAGTGATGCTGTTGCAGGAAATGGGCAATTTTAAGACCGCTTGAAATGTTTTATTACATTAAACAACGAAAACCATGTTTTATGAATTTTCATTGAAATGATCAGAACCTGCATTTTGATTGGCAATAAATCAACTTCTACTCACTTTTAGCCCAGCCTTTGTTTTTGGTAATTTATGTCAATTTGACATTTCATGTGTCATATCTAAAGACAATATGATATTCCTACTCTTAAACTCACAGAATATTTGGAAGCAGTGGTACTTCGGGTTCGTTTAGTAAACTAAAAACAACTGAACCATGAATTATTGGTTCCTGGTCAAACACCATATAATATGGACCAATGCAGACATGTTCCTGTTTTTAGTTTCCTACATTCGCCTTAGAATCTAGCTGTTTTTTGTTACTTTTCTTTTCTTTTTTTAGCCATCTTATTTGTTAAAAAAAAAAAAAAGTATGACTTTTTATAACTGTCTATTGTTGTCACTGTTGTCATCATTCTTTGTTGAAATCAGGTCTCTCTTGTAAATGAGTCCTCGAGGCTCAATGGGATTTACCTGTCTAAATAAAGGTTGAATGAAAAATAATAAGTGCATGATACAATTTTTATTTGCATTGAGCTCCAGGGCATTTATGAAAATAACCTTAGCAGAAATGAGTGAAAAAACAACTTTGCTAATTGACTAACTTCCCCACCACCAATTGATGGGACACTTTTGTAAAAAACCAGTCCATGATGCAAGTAGGTCCCTCAGGTCTCTCTTGTAAATGAGTCCCCGAGACTCAGTGGGATTAACCTGTATAGGTAAAGGTTGATTGAATGGAAAATAAAAAGCAAGTGTGCCGCTGCTTTTAAACACACACACACAGAAACATGGTGGTGGTGGCGTCATTCTGTGGAGGTGAGGTGTGTTCATCAATAAACACCTCCTGAAAATCACATTTAAATCACTGGTTGTTAAAATGAAAAACTGACACTAAACTGGAAAACTGCTGAATCGGCATGTTTGGTTAGAGCAGTGGTTCTTCAATGCAAGCGCTGGGGGGGTTTGACTCCACCTGCAGTCACATGCTGAAGTGTCTCTGGGCAAGAAACTGAACCCCTCATTGCCTCTGATGTGTGTCCCATCAGTGTATGAATGTGATAAATCACTGATTAGTCTTTGTACAGATCTAGTAGAGTGCTGTATGAACAGGTAAATGAGGCACAGATTGTGTTGTAAAGAGCTTTGAGTATCTTGATAAGATAGAAAGGCACTATATATAAGTAGTCCATTTATCAAAACATGGTAAATGACCTCAACAGTCAATAAATGATTGTAAACAAACTCAGATAAAATAAAAATTACATATCTGTCTAACGCAGTCTTTATAAAATGCTCATTTCAGAAATATTGTCAAATGCAACAGCTATTGTATATAGTCAAATGTTTGCAGCGCCCCTGTCAGTTATCAGTCTTGTTGCTTTCTCCTTTATTTCTTGTGCATCGGTCTAAATAGTCTAATTATGTCTTCATTCTGCGCAGCCCGGCTGTAGAGAGACGGCACTTCAGCCAGCAGACCTCCATCAGTCTTATCGGAGAGGCTGTGGCCTTGTCTTATTGTGAAAGCCACTCATCAAGGCTTCTAATGGAACAGCAACGCTCCTTTTATTTACACAAGAATAACGTCTCAACAGCTTTACGTGCAGTTAGACACTTAAATTTAATTGGAAACATTATATGCATATACCGGTATATCATTTTAATTAAAACCTTTGCAGTTGTGGGTGCAGTTCTGAGCTCACCTCGGACAACTTGTGTGCTCGGTGGTGAGACTTGGAGCGCTGCAGCAGCTGGGCAGCCAGGTTGCAGTCTTTACGGTACAGATCCTGTGGAAGGCACAAAAACTATATTCAATCACCAAAACAAAAGGTTTTCAGCTTCATGGTTTGTGTACTACACAGTCTTGAATTTCAGCATCCCTTTGTGAAACATGTAGCAATTTTAGGCCCCTAATTGGGATTTATTTGGTCATATTCCAGTGTGCAACAATAAAACAAGCAAATATGTTAATGTTCGTAAAACATTTAAAAGAAACAAGAAATTGTGCTAACAATGGCTTTAATGATGATAAATGTATCGTATTTTCCGCCGCACATAAGTCGCATCAGTCCAAATACGTCTAACAAAGTGGAAAATTCCATAAATACGTCGTATTTATTACATTTCGCTGCTGACGCGTCGCGTTTGTTACGCGTCACCGCTGACAACCCAGAAATGTGGGCCGATGTTGTGCCAAAAATTAATTGGCTGCCAAATGGTGGGCTCGGGAGCGTGCACGGGAGGATTTTAACAATAATTTAAGAAGATTAACACTTAAAAACAATTATTTGTTTACTCAACATTATAGTAAAGGTGTGTCTCACTCTAACTTTTCCTTAATAAATGCACTTTGACGGTCAAATCAGCTGCGTTTCAAAAGCCGATACACGGAAACATGAACTTGCAGAGGGTGACTCTCTGTGCATTTCTTCGAAATTTAACAAGATAATCGCCTACAAACATTTATTTGTTTGCTCGTTATTAAAGTAAAGGTGTGTCTCAGTTGAACTTTTACTTAATAAATGCACTTCAATGGTCAAATCATCTGCATTTCACCGGGGCGGTTCAGTGAAATGAAGTTGATTTGAAGGTTGCTCCGGGCCAGCTGGATGAAGGTGGGAGGCTAAGGCAAGCCGATTGTGTCATTAATAGCCACTTTTACCTATTACATGATACAACGTCATGCCATACTACTCGACAGCCATCTTTTGGCTGAAAATGGTGGTGTTCAATATTTTCAGTCAGAATGAATGCAAATGGTCATATCTCAGCCAAAAATTGGTTTATAAATATGGTGCAAAATCCATAAATGTGTCACTTCGGCGTATAAGTCGCAGGGCATGGAAATTATGCAAAAATCTGTGACTTATAGGGCGAAAAATATAGTAAATTCAAACGTGCTTTCAGTGTATTTTTCTTGTGGCTTACTATAACTTGAAGTAATGGTGCAAATAATTGTTTTATCACCTATTTATTTCACCAGTTTCTCAATAGAGGGTCACAGAAATGTCAAAATATTAATATTTTGTATATATCTGCAGCTTCCAGCCAAGAGAGCAATTTTCAGTGCTCACTTTCTTTTTCTGTGTTTGATTTAAATGACTTTTGAAATAAATATTTCACTTAAACTTTAAGGCTTCTTAGTCCGCCATGCTCTTTTCTTTGTTTCTGGCTAATTCTCTTTCTCTTTTGTTAAATCTGTCCACTTCTAAAGGTCAGTTCTTGCAGCTTTGTACACCCCCCCCCCCCCCCCGCACGCACCTTTGTACCTCCGCAGCTTTAACAATACTCACCCAAATAGCCGAGCCTTTGTTGCGACAGTTTCATCTCCAGAAGCATTAACAGGGACTGCTTTTTGAACCGCTTCATTTTATTAAAAAAGGAGCTTCAAGAATACACAGCAAGCTGTTGTTTTATTATTTTGTTTAATTTGTTGTTATTTATCTAAAATTTTTACATTCTTCATGCATGAACTAGTGTTTCAGGGGTCTCAAGTGTATTATTATTATTAATATTATTATTATGCGTTTCTGCTTAACTTTTAGTTGCATACAAGTAAAAGTAATTTGTGTAAAAGCATTACACAGTGTAAACTGATGAATTTAAGGTCTGGATTTGAGTTTTTTTTATTAATATTATTATTATTGGTTCAGCTACAGTATACTCTGTCAGTTTTTGTTCATTTCATCCCTGAATGTTAAAAGACAAAAAAAATAATGGCAGCTACAAAAACTGCTTGGACCTCTGCAGTCTGATAAACATCAATGAACAAGGACGTGTGTTTGTCACTTTGCTCCCTTTGCATAGAAGTAATACAAAGCATCGATCATCTTTTGATTTAATGTTTTAGAAATGTTTGGGGTCTTTTTGCATCTATATCTATAATTTGATGTCTTTTTGTTGTTGTTTTTTTTTCAATTCCCCACCACTGAACGTCAAAGGAGGATAATGGTGTTTGTGTGTGTCTGTCTGTTAGCAAAATATCTCATGAACCACCTAATGGATTTTAATCAAACTTGCAAGAAGAAGTATTTATTGGATGAATATCTATTAAATTTTAACTTTTGGAGCCAACCCAGTTCCAGATGGTTGACACAGCTAACTGAATTTATAAAACACACAAAAAAAATTGGTATAATTCAGTTAATTTTACAAATATTATTCTAAAATTTGGTGTAGATGTAGCTGAGAGGCATTCACAACACAAGAGCAAGTCATAATGTTATTTTGTTAATTTTAGGGTTTGACAAAACATCTACAAAGTCTTGTCATCTCTCAACGTAAGATAATATTAATCTAAAACTGGCATATGTGATGTGATGCATCCCTTTAAGGGTTTCTACACCTTGAGTTTTTAATAATCTATGAAATGTATCCCTTAAGAATAGCACAAACTGATAATTTCCTTTAATCTAGACACATTTGCATCCCTTTTTTCTGCAGGATGTTTTAAGCTGGCTCTCTGGAGAACATTTCAGCCTACTTGCTGGATGATGGGAGAACTGGCAAAATGTACCTCAAAAGTATCACTAAGGGCCATGGAGGAGAGATAGACGTTCTAACTTAACTTGGAGTCCCAACGCAGAAATAAAGCCAGAAAAGTCACTTCAAAGGAAGCGAGGCACTAGACTGCCATGTGCCCTTGAGCTCCGACTCTCGCAGCCCTGCGGTCCAAGTTCTCTCCTCCCTGAAGAAGCAGCTCATTGATTTCTGTATAATCACTATAAAACACCCAGTGGCTTAGAGATAATTCTTCTATCTGCTGTGGCACCTTGAAGCACAAATATCCAGGATGTTTTCAGAAATAGAGCGAGCGTGACTTTGAGCGGGGAGGGGGTCAATAGAGAAGGCTGCCAATGTGACGGGAGGAAGTTGTGGAAATAAATAAGTGTCGCTAGGATTTGAATTAAAAATGCCACTGACATTTTCATGTTGCATGTTTGTATTTAATTTTTCAGTGTTAAAACGTATTCAGAATACATTTTTAACCTAAAAAAAAAAAGTGTCATTATTTCTATATGTTTGAAATTTAATTTGTTATTTTCACTTCGAGCTAAAAATTCACGCTCTTATGATCACATTTTCAACAGCTGTTTTTCAGTTGAACTTTTCACTGTTTAAAAATTTGGCACATAAAAAACTTCAACCTTTCTAAATTCAAACGCAATACTTTCAATGTCCTGAGATTCAACTGGCTCAATTTCACTGTCTGAAATTCAGCTTCTAAAAATTCAGTGTTAAAAAGGCAGGGTTACTTCAGGTCACAGACATTAGCAAAGGATGTCAGAATCCAACACCCACATCCGCTTGCTTAGTCATGTGACGTTACGCTTGTTGCGCTGATTTTGAAGGAAAACAGCATCTCCGGGGCGATAATGGAAGCTAATGCTAACTCAACATTGAGTTTAATGCTTTCATTTTTCTGTTGTATGTTTTTTTTTGTGCATTAAGTTCGATACTACATAAATCATACCTACAGAAAAATGAAAGCATTAAACTCACCGATGAGTTAGCGTTAGCTTGCATGACCGCCCCAGAGATGCTGTTTTCCTTCAAAATACCATACCATACCATACCATACCATACCATACCATACCATACCATACCATACCAATTTATTTATATAGCACTTTAAACAGTGACAAAGCACACCAAAGTGCTGTACAGGGACAAACAGAACAAGCACATAGCAACAGATTACATAACAGGACACTAAAAAGTAGAAACCAACAAAAACAACAACAATAACAACAACAACAACCTCAACATGACCAACACAGTGTGATGCACACAGACTCAGCACAGGTCACACAGTGCAGAAAGCCAGGGAATAAAAGTGCGTTTTTAAGCGAGATTTAAAAACTGTGAGGGAGGGGGCCTGTCTAACCAGCAGAGGTAACTCATTCCAAAGTCTTGGTCCTGCTACAGAGAAGGCCCTGTCACCTCTGCGCTTGAGATGGGTTCCTGGGACTGTTAGGAGCAACTGGTCTGCTGATCTGAGAGAACGTGGTGGGACATACGGCTGGAGCAGATCAGTAAGATAGGAGGGGGCAGAGCTGTTTAGTGATTTATAGACATACAAGAGTATTTTGAATTTGATTCGAAGGTGAACTGGAAGCCAGTGTAGGGAGGCCAAAACAGGAGTAATGTGCTCTCTTTTGCTTGTGCTGGTCAAAAACCGGGCTGCTGCATTTTGGACCAGTTGGAGTCTAGCTATGGAGGTCTGACTGATACCAAAAAGGAGTGAGTTGCAATAGTCGAGCCTGGATGTGATGAATGCATGAATCACTGTCTCCAGGTTATTTATGGACAATATGGGCTTCAGCAAAATCAGCGCAACAAGCGTAACGTCACATGACTAAGCAAGCGGATGTGGGTGTTGGATTCTGACATCCTTTGCTAATGTCTGTGACCTGAAGTAAACCTGCCTTTTTAACACTGAATTTTTAGACGCTGAATTTCAGACAGTGAGCTTGAGCCAGTTGAATCTCAGGACATTGAAAGTATTGCGTTTGAATTTAGAAAGGTTGAAGTTTTTTATGTGCCAAATTTTTTTTTAACACTGAAAAGTTCAACTGAAAAACAGCTGTTGAAAATGTGATCATAATCGTGTGATTTTTTAGCTCGATGTGAAAATAACAAATTAAATTTCAAACATATAGAAATAATGACACTTTTTTTTTTTTAGGTTAAAAATGTATTCTGAATATATTTTAAGACTGAAAAATTAAATACAAACATGCAACATGAAAATTTCAGTGGCATTTTTAATTCAAATCCTAGTGAAACATATTTACTTCCATAGCAAGTGTTGATAAGCAGCTTTTGGAAGAGTTGCCATTTTTGCCTCCAAATTCAACAACTGTTTCAACAGGACACGATTGCTGACCAAGCAAAGATGGCGAACACTTGATCTCCCACCCTGAATGCTGTAGGCTACTTTGTAATTTTCAGCCCAGCAAGAAAACTCATTTAGGCAGGTCAGTAAGTGAAATCTTGCTTTGTGTTCCAGCACACGAGGATGATGTTGAAGCTCTTAGAACATGATGAACTCACGTTGTCCTCTCTCAGTTTATTAATGGTGATCTTGGCCTCCATTAGGTGGTTGTTGAGAAGAATGATTTCCCGGCTGAGGGCTCTCTTTTCCTCTTCGTGGTGCTGGGACTGCAGTAAAAACAGACCAAAAAAGAATGGACAAGGTACAGTTAAAGAGAAATTGGAAACAACAAAATAAATCAGGGCGAGTCAGAGAGAGCAAATGGAAAAATTGGATAGCAAAGGGTTAAAGGAAATAGTGGCGATTATAAGAACGATGAAAGTTGGAGGCGCCAAAAAGGAAACAAGATGATAAGAGTGGGCCTGAAAAATGAAAGGAAGAAAACCTTAAGCCAGTATGAGTTTGAAACTGGCGCTGGCAGCAGGTCTTAATTAAAAGAAGATTACACTTGCCAGAGCTCATATCATATCAATTACTCTGGGAGTAGGAGCAAAAGACAGGGAGGGAGGCGGAAGCAGAGATAAAAATAAAGAGGAGAGAGTGAGAAAGGCAAGGGAAACACATTCCTTTTTCAGCGATCACTGTTAAATAGATGGAAAATGACTCTGTTGGAGTGACATTTGAGCCTCACTAACAGCGGAGTGTAATGATCATGATGTCTGCTCGTTAACTTATCTGTCATCTTCTTTTACACACATTCATCTCAGGAACTACGGGCTTTGTCACAGCTATTCATAGAGAAAATTATTGTGTTGGCCTATCGTGTTTTCATTCTTTCAAGCCCGTTAAAAACCTGCCATAACATTTTCTGCACATCCACGTTCTGAGAAGATAAACCCACATGTTGAATGATTTATTGAGTTCTTGTGACGTGGCTGGGGGGGGTTCAGGGGAAATTGATTGTGCAGCTAAGGTGTTTTGTTGACTAGAAAAAAGCTAACCTTGTCTATGTGGATTCTGTGGGGAGTGGTGCATGAGTATGGGGGTGTCGGGGGTTAGGGTTGTATGTGTTACCAAAGCAAGAGCGATGCCAGCGTTCTCGGTAGGCCTGTCACGATAACAGATTTTGCTTGGCTATTAATTGTCTCAAAATTATTGTGATAAACGATAATATTGTTTGAACTTTGACAATAATTAGTAATTGTTGTCAAATCTAAGAAGAACTATTGGTTATTTTTTGTATGTAGTACTTTTTTTGACCGCCGGATGGCAGTATAAGACCGTTTGAACCGAAGGATGGATAGTGAGGGAGCGAGCAGCGTGTCTCTTTAAAAAAAAAATGGGAGGGAGACCCCTTGATGTGACATGGGCTGTCTCTTTTTGATTCTCAAAATGGCGGATGCTCGGTGTGGTTTGAGCTCTTTAGCATAGCCTTTGTCACTCAAAGTTTTTAATAAAAAAAATCAGTAAACAAGTTCTCAGCTTCTTTTTGCAGAGAAAAACAACTTTTTACACAAAGGCACGAGTTTCAACCGTGAATTTTTTGAGCTTCGACAAGACGGAGGTTTTTTCCTGAGGTTGACCTTTTAGCTTAGCTCATAGCTTAGCTTGTAGCTTAGCTGCTTTTAATGATCTAAAAACGTGATTTTGGACAGTTAAAATAGATTTTAAAGAGAAAAGAGAAAGGGAGGTGTCAGTGAAGAACACCGGAGTTGAGTTTGTTGTCATCCAGTGTCTTCAGTAGAAAGACAGAAATGAAGAAACAATAAAGCCGATAAATGAAAATGAGGTTGATCATTTTTATTTATCATGCCATTAATTGATCAACTGTTTATTGCGACAGGCCTAATTCTCGACACAAAGCCAGGATCATGTCTTACTTCTAACATACAAAGCTCTTAGCTCAGCTAAGCTAACAACTTAGCTCTATCTTACATTACAGATCTTATTGTCCCATATTTTCCTAACAGAGCACTTTGCTCTCAGACTGCAGGTTTACTTGTGGCTCCTAGAGGTTCCAAAAGCAGAACGGGTGGAAGATCTTTCAGTTATCGGGCTCCTCTCTTGTGGAACCAACTTCCAGTTTCTGTCCGTGAGGCTGACACCATGAGGATGGTGCCCTCTTGTGTTTCTGTCTTGTTCTCCCTCATGTGATCTGTTTTCCATCTTCATATTTTTTTCCCTCATGTAACTAGCCTCTGCTGTCCACCTGTTGTCTCTCCCAGGTGTTGGTCCTTGTCAGTAATTAGTGTGTGTGTATATAAGTTTACGTCTACTGTTCCTCGTCAGCTGGTCATTGTCTGGTGTTCCTTGCAAATGTCAAATTTCATTCCTACATGTTCTCCTACGTGTTCTCCTGTGTTCTTTCTGTGAGTAAGTTTTGCTGCCATGTCAGTGTGTTTATTTATTTTTAATAAATTTATATTTATTTTACTCCTCTGAGTTTCTCTGTGGTCCACCTGCACCATTGGGTTCTACTCAAAAACCACACCACTCTGACAGACACCTTGTCCACTTTTAAGATTAGGCTTTAGTCTTTCCTTTTTGATAAATCCTATAGTTAGGGTTGGCTTGGTGTCCTGACCTACCCCTTATCCTAAGCTGCTATAGGCTTAGACTATTGGAGGACACATTGACCTCATTTCATCAAATGAATAGTTACAAATGGATACAAATGAATAGTCTGTAATTGTAATTATTTCTATTTAATTATGTGTTTTTTTTTTTTGTTTGTTTGTTTGTTTGTTTGTTTTGGTCTTTCCTCCTAGAGAGGGACCTGCTCGTCTCCATTCTGGACCTGCCATTCTTTGTTTGTTTTTCCTTCCTGTCCTCTCAAACCCAGGGGTCTGATTTGAAAACTACATGGTTGCATTTTTTGTCCTTTGTATGTGTTGTTGGGGTCTTTAAAGTCATGAGTCAGCTGGAGTGATTAATTGAATGCAAAGCAGCCAGTGTGTGAGTCAGCTCCTCTAATGTGAGGTCATTGTGCTTAACTGGGAAAAGATGGACTCTTTCCTTAGAGTTAGCGGCGAGATTTTGACTCGAGCAGAGGGAATTATCTCAATGTCTTGTTATTTAGTCATAGCAGGACAGGGGTGGTAAAGAAGGAGCTTCAGCTGAAAAGCAAAGCAATTGTCCATTTATTGGTTTAGTCACGGGCAGCAAGGTGGCACAACTGGTAGAGCTGCTGCCTCTCAGCAAGCAGGTCCCTGGTTCAAACCCCGGTCCAGGGGCCTTTCTGGGTGGAGTTTGCATGTTCTCTCCGTGCATGTGTGGGTTTTCTCCGGGTACTCCGGTTTCCTCCCACAGACCAAAAACATGCATGTTAGGCTGATTGGTAACACTAAATTGTCCCTAGGTGTGAGTGAGAGAGTGAATGGTTGTTTGTCTCGTTTGTCTCTGTGGCCCTGTGATGGACTTGCGACCCGTCCAGGGTGTACTCCGCCCCTCGCAAAGTAATTGCTGGACATGGGCACCGGCGACCCCCGTGACCCAAAATGGAACAAGCAGGTAAAGATAATGGATGGATGGTTTAGTCACGGTTTGTATTGATTCATGTTTCTCAGTTTTTTTTCCTGTGCTGTTTATTTTCTGTATTTTTTATTGTTTTCAGTTTGTTTCCTCTACCTCTGTTTCCTGATGTTCTTAGTACTTTTCCACAGTCAGTTCTGCCCCTCCCCCTCACACCTGTTCCTCGTTGTCATTTTGCCCAAGTGTCTCCACTCTACTCATCAGCCCCAGTCCTTTATTTATTTCTGTCTTCATTTATCTCCAGTTTAACATTGTGGTTTCAGGGCAATACGAGAATCTGACCTGTAGGGGTGCTTAGCTCCCAGTGCTGACAATGGCTCATGTAATAATGCAGTGGTCGTTGGCGTCAGAAGTATTTGTAAAGTGTAACACACTGGCGGGAGGGGAGGAGGGGTGTCTGAGGGTCCTCCCCCAGAAAATTTTAAATAAAGTACAGTAGATGTAATTTGTTGCATTCTGGTGTATTTTAACAGGTTTTTAAACATCAACGTTTACTATAAGTAAACACTTGATTCAATAACTATTTTAGAGCTCGGCACAACAAGACGTAGCAACTAGCTCAACTAGCTCAACTAGCGCAACTAGCTCAACTAGCTCAACTAGCTCAACTAGCTCAACTAGCGCAACTAGTTCAACTAGCTCAACTAGCGCAACTAGTTCAACTAGCGGTGCACAATACAAACGTGCAAAGCGTTTGAAATGAAAAACCCTGACAATGTTGTTGGACAAAAAGGGGTGCAGCTCTGCAGATAAGGGACACTTCACTTCAGGACAAACTGAGGTCGCTGATTGGTCAGTTGCTGACGAGCCTATACTGGATTAATTGACAGGTGGTGTCGAGGATCCGTATCGTGCAAAAAATAAAAAAATTCATAGAATTTACTGGCCCATTTAAGAGTGTCATCATTTATTCCATATTTATTCCAAATTTATTTAATATTTTGGTGAATTTAAGTTTTGAGAGCTAAGCTTCCTTACACAATCCTAATGATAGTTTCTTTATTTTTCAGGGGTTCTATAGTAAAATTTAGGGGTGCTTGAGCACCACCAAAAGAGACTAAAAATTGCCACTGGTGCCACATCTGGTTCCACTCTGTGCCACTTGAGTTTCTTTGTTTTATTTTCTGCCACGACAGCCATTAAAAAAATTATTATTAAAGCTTCATACGTTTTTCTCAAGCCCCTTGAGTGGTCTACATTCAGCACAACTCCTTCTAAAACCTGTCAGTGTTATTGTTTACTGGTTATTTATTTCAGGCTAGTTGTAGGATAAAAAAAAAGAACGTTAGTTTGAAAAGTTTTAATTATTTTTTCAATTTTTTGTTTCTCTGTAGCCCACGCACTCACTCGTTCATTGAGTAGTGAATTTAAAACCTGCCCCAGAGCAACAGCTGACAAATGATACACTCACTTGGCCTCCAAGCCTCCTCTCTTTTAATCTCAGCGGAGGAGATTGTTTTTGAAAAACAGAGATGCATAGCCAATCCAATAGGTGACAATTAATGTCGGTTTAAGTGATAGGCCAGCATTAATATTCAAACTCCCTTCTGTAACAGTCTCATTACTCAGCTGCTGAGACGTGCACCACCCTGCTGCTGTTTGTGACTCTGGGCTTCTCCTAATGTTTGTGCTACTGACCATAAAAACATATTTAAACATATTTAAAGCTTAAATACTCCGACCATGCCTCCTGCTT